AGAGAGAAGATGAGGGAGAAAGACAGAAATGGAACCGAGAGGGAAAGATAGAGAGAGACTTGTGCCCCACGGAACAAAACCAAAACAAATGGGCCCCACGGGCACACACATTAAGACCCAAAAATAATTTTAAAAAAAATCCCAAACTTAATAAAATTACAAAGATAACCCTTTGTTCTGTAAATTCCAAAATGGGTTGTTACACTGCGTCTCCTAGATAAATGAGCCTCTTTTTGCTCTCTCTCGAAGTTTTGGTGTAGCATTAACGATGGTTTGTATTTGGTAAAATATATTTTCATTTCACACTTTAATAAAGTTACAGTTTAGGTGTATATATACAACAAACTAACATAGTATCTTAACCACTAAGCTAACAGCTAAGAAGATACATTTACAATATTGCCCTTTATATCCCTCCGCAAACTAAACTTAGGTTGTCGAAGTTGAAGTTTGTCACGAAGGAAGAGGAAACAAAGCTTGGACAGAGACTTGGTGCAGATATCGACTACTTGGTCTTGAGTGCAGACAAAAAGGACAGAGATCTGCTTGGTAAGGACCTTTTCCCTAATGTAATGATAGTCGATTTCTACATGCTTTGTCCGAGCATGAAAGACAGGATTTTTTGCTAGAGATATAGCGGAAATATTGTCACACCAAAGATGAGGAGTGGTAGGTAAGCAGTAGCCAATATCCGATAGTAATTGACAGAGCCAGGTGATTTCAGATGCAGTATTAGCAAGAGAGCGGTACTCTGTTTCGGTGGAAGAGCGAGCAACAGTCGGTTGCTTCTTAGCACTCCAGCTAATCAAAGAGTTAACAAAATAGACACAGTAACCGCCAGTGGACCGGCGGTCAAGAGCACAGCCAGCCCAATCAGCGTCCGAGAAGGCAGTGAGAGTAGGAGGAGTGGAACACTTGGAGAACCAGAGACCAATATCAAGAGATCCCTTGAGGTATCTTAGAATACGCTTTACAGCCTGAAGATGTGAAAGTTTGGGAGTGTGCATATATTGGCATACAAGATTAACTGCAAAACTGAGATCAGGACGAGTCCAGGTGAGATATTGCAGAGCACCAACCAGGGAACGATACTCAGAAGCATTGTCACATAAGGGAGAATCATGATCAAGTTTGGAGGTGTTGAGAGGAGTACTGCAAGGTTTGGCGCCAGTCATGTTGGCCTTGGATAACAAATCCAATATGTATTTAGTCTGAGATAGAAAGATACCAGCAGAAGATCTTTTGACTTCAAGACCAAGAAAGTAGTGCAGCGGACCCAAATCCTTGATGGGAAACAGGGAACTCAGTTGCTGAATAACTTGGTTACAGGCAGCAGAGTTTGGACCAGTAACCAAAATGTCGTCGACATAAACTAGAATGAAAATCATAGCTGAACCCTTTTTGATAAACAAGGAATGGTCGCTGGGAGAGCCAACAAAACCGAGAGAAGTGAGAGCACCATGAAGCTTGTCATACCAAGCCCGCGGAGCTTGTTTTAAACCATACAACGAACGATGCAAGTGACAGACATGAGATGGGTGAGCTGAATCTTCAAATCCAGGAGGTTGTTGCATAAAAACTGATTCATTGAGTGTCCCATGTAAGAAAGCATTGCTGACATCTAATTGATTCAAGAACCAATCGAACTGGACCGCAAGAGTGAGGATGAGGCGAATGGTGACTGGCTTGGCTACCGGACTGAAGGTTTCGGTATAATCTAAACCTTCCTGCTGATTGAAGCCCTTGGCAACGAGCCGAGATTTGTACCGGTCTATAGTACCATCGGGCTTATGTTTGATGCGGAAGACCCATTTACAGCCAACAATATTCTGTGAGGGAGACGGGGGAACAAGAGACCAAGTTCTAGTTGTGATGAGAGCAGTAACCTCTTCTTGCATAGCTTGGGACCAATGAGGATATTTGGAAGCTTGGAGATAGGTGTTAGGGATGTAATCCACTGAGAGATGAGAGGGAAGAGGGTGCTTAGTAGCAGTGAGAGCTTTGGGTTTGAAAACACCAGATTTGGACCGGGTTTGCATCAGATGGGTGTTAGAAGGTTGAAGAGAAGTGGAAGGAACGGAATCTGGAACAAGCATTACAGGACTGGAGGGAATAGGTGGGGAAGGGTTATGGGAGAAGGGGGATGGGGAAATGGAAGGGGAACGAAGGAAAGAGGGGGGAATACTAGAGGAAGAAGAAAGAGGAAAAGTAAAAGTAAAGGTTGATGGAAGAGATGAGGTAGACCTAAGAGGCAGGGATGAGGGTGAAGGTGGTATGTTGGAGATATGATGGAATGGAAAACTGGATTCATTGAAGATGACATGTCGGGAAATATATACTCAGTGAGTTGCAGGGTCAAGACATCTATAGCCCTTGTGATTTAAACTGTATCCAAGAAAGACACAGGCTCTGCTTTTAGGATCCAGCTTCGAGGAAGTATAAGGCTTAAGCCAGGGGAAGCAAGCACAACCAAAAACCTTGAGAAGGTCATAATTCGGAGCTCGATGATATAGAGATTCCCAAGGAGACTGTCTGGATGCAGTAGGCAATCGGTTGATAAGATAGATGGCAGTGTTGAAAGCCTCTACCCAATAGATGTGGGGTACTTTGGAAGCTGTCAAAAGAGTGCGAGCAGTTTCAACCAAGTGACGATGCTTGCGCTCGGCACACCCATTTTGTTCGGGTGTGTGGGGGCAGGTAAGTTGATGATGAATGCCATGAGTAGCCAAGAATTGAGAGAAACTAGTGCTCAAGTACTCTTCTCCGGAATCATATCTCAAAGTAATAATTTTGGTACACAGAGAATTTTCAACCAGAGATTTGTATTCCATAAAAGTGGACAGTACATCAGATTTGCATTTCAAAGGATAAAACCAGGAGTACCTAGTAAAGTCATCCACAAAAATGATGTAATACCGAAAACCTTGAGAAGAAGCTTGAGGAGAGGGTCCCTAAACATCCGTGTGGACAAGTTCTAGAGGTTTGCTAGTTGTATAAGAAGTGGATACAAAAGGAAGCTTGGAGCTTTTAGCTAATGCACAATCTGAGCAGAATGACTTAGTTACATGAGCTAAAACAGGAATACAAGATTGAGAAGCAAGTTTATGAAGAATCTTGACAGATGGGTGACCCAATCTTTGATGCCAAACATCCGTAAAAGTTTTAGCAGTGGCGGTGAGAGCCTTATGATTGCCAGTTGCAGATGAGGAAAAATGGAAAGGATAGAACCCTTGTTGAACAGGTCCTTTAAAACGCATCATCCCCGAAGAAAGATCCTTCACAGTGAAGTGAGAGGGATAAAGATGCAATGAACAATGATTATCAAGTAAAAATTGATTTGCAGAGAGAAGGTTATGTTTCAAAGCAGGCACATAAAGAACTTTATTGAGATTGAAAGCACTAGTAGAAGTATGCAAAGTAGTAGAACTAGAATGAGTGATAGGCAAACCTTTGCCATCACCAATATACACTTGTTCTGGACCTGTGTATGCTTCAGGATTTTGCAGAGTGGAATAGGAGTTGGTCATGTGGGATGTTGCTCCAGAATCGACAATCCAAGTAGGATTGGATGAAGAGCAGTAGCAACCATCGCTGCAGGAGAGGATTTTCCACCATAAGCCAAATTGAGGCGATGAGGACAATCACACGCTTCATGATCAAGTTGATGACAAATCTGACAGGGATGTTTCTTGGTGTAGGAAGAAAAATTGTTGCGACCTCCACGATTAGAACGTGAATTATTGCCACGATTAGGAAAAGATCTCGGATTGTTAGAGGATCGGTAATTGCCACGATTGAAAGGACCGCGATTATGAGAGCGATCCACCCCACGACTTGGATGACTGAAGGTAGAAGGAGAATGAGCCACAAAAGCCTGAGAGTTAAGACTGGATACAGGAAGAGGAAGAATGCCAGCAGAGGTGTGAAAAGCCTGAAAAGAGGACATCTCAGAGATACTTTTCTTGTGAGTGGCTAATTGAATCTCCTTGTTAAGAAGCAAGCCATGTAATTCATCAATTGTTGTAGATCCGAGACGAAATTGAATAGCATCAACAAACGAATCATACTCAGGGGGAAGACTGTGGAGAGTGACAGAGATCAGATCAGAATCTTCAACCGGAGAGCCGGCACTGGCAAGAGCATTAGCAATTGCCTCAATTTGCTGGAGATACTGAGCAGCAGATGAAGTTCCTTTGGAAAGATTACGAAGTCGAGAGCGTAGCTCATGAATATGAGACTGAGAGGCCGTGGCAAGGCGAGATTCCAATTTCGCCCAAAGATCGCGAGCCGAATTCACACCAACAGTGTAGGGAATGAGGGAATCCGAGAGCGTGGAGTTGAGCCAGATGAGAATATTCTGGTCATTTTCATACCAAGAAACATAAGCAGGATTAAGAATTCGATTTCCTGAGGAATCAAGAAGAAATTGAACCGGCGCCTCCATAGATCTATCAATGTGACCAGTCAGATTGTATCGGCGAAAAATTGGAGCAAAGAGAGCACTCCAAGTCAAGTAATTGGTGGTGGTGAGCTTGATTGGCACCATGGATCCAATATTTTGGATTGTGATGGAGGTAGAATTTGAAGAATTAGGGTTCGAAGATCCAGTCGGAAGGGGGTGAACTGGAGAGGCCGATTCCGATGAAGGAGATGCCATTGGCAAATAGATGAGGAAGAAAGAGAGCACGAACAAAGATCTTCAACCACGATCTTCAACCACGAGCGAAGAATCGAGCAAGAACGCAGAAAGAAGAAGCAGGAGAAAGGAGGATCGAAGAACGAGAGTCGTTAGACAGAGAAGGCGATTGATACCATATTTGGTAAAATATATTTTCATTTCACACTTTAATAAAGTTACAGTTTAGGTGTATATATAACAAACTAACATAGTATCTTAACCACTAAGCTAACAGCTAAGAAGATACATTTACAATATTGCCCTTTATAGTTTGCCTATGCTCCTAAATTATTTCTCATGAAAAAAGAAAAAGAAATTAAATCGATTACACAGACTGTTTATTCTCTCTTTATTATATCCTCATTAAATAGTTAATTGACTTTAATATTTAATGAGGATTAGACTCCGTCCAAACCTCTCTTCCCCATTAAGAAACCACATTTCGTTTGGTCGACAATCCAGAGAAAGCATGGAAGATGTAAGCAATGAAGTTATGAACCGAAACTTGAACGATCTCCCTGATGAGATCCTCCTCCACATCCTCACCTTCCTCCCCACACTCGACGCCGTCCAGGCCTCCCTCATCTCTCACAAATGGCAGCCCCTCTGGTCTCACGTTCCCGCCCTCAACTTCAACTACAAACTCTTCCCGCCGCGCGAGCCGCCATTGGATACCCGCCAGTTATACGTCGAGTTCGTTGACCGTGTTCTGGTTTCCCGCACTGATTCCCGGGTCTCCACTTTCCGCCTCTCTTTCATCCACCACAATCACTACAGCTCCTATGTCGACTCTTGGGTGCGATCCGCTGTGACCTGCCTCCGCACCCGCGAGCTCTATCTCGACTTCTTCATCCACAAAAAATTTCACAACGAAGATACCCGAACTAACTGGTATGCTTTCCCTTTCTCTGTTCTGAGAGATGGGTGTGTTGAGAAATTACGACTTACGCGATGTGAAGTTATATTGCCACCTGAACTGTCCACCATGCGGTTTTGGTCAATTGGGTCATTATTTCTCGATCAGGTTTACTTTTCGGACAAGATGATGGGGGATTTGATACTGGGGTGCCCCAGTTTGGAGGATTTGGAGCTTCAAAACTGTTGGGGGCATCGTCATTTGAAGATATGTAGCAAAAGGCTCAAGAAGCTTGTACTTGGGCATTTTTATGATGATTCTTATATCCGAGCAAGGATTTTGGTCGATTGCCCAAACCTTTGTTCGATTAGTTTTGATTGCTGCAGCTTTTATATGTTTGAGCTGAAGAATGCGTCATTTCTGGTTGAGTTTCGTGTTATTGTGCACCTGATCGATCTATCCGATTGTTATTGGATTAGGGTTGTTAGGCTACTCGAACAAGTGCCTAATCTGAAGCATCTTTATGTGCAAAACTGGTGGTGTAAGGTAATCTTTCTAACTTCTGTTCTCATCAGTTATCGTTTTTATTGTTTTGATTACGGTTAACTGTCTCATTCTTTGTATTGCTGAAGTTGTTTTCTTTGCATACGTTCTCAGTTTGCGACATCAGATTTCTTGCCTGAAAGCTTTAGACTCCACAATCTGAAGCTCTTAGAGCTACGAACAGGGTTCACGCAGTATGATCTCATTGGCATGCTTGTACTGATTGAACTTTCGCCCAATCTCGAGGCAATGATTCTGGAACACCAACACAAGATTGAAGCAGATAATGTGAGTACTTCGACACACTTCATTCTTCATGTTTCTGCCTTCGTTATGCTTATCGTTCTTTTTTAGGTTCCGTGCTGCACACCTGAAATTCAATCATGTAATTTCCAGGAGATTTTATCAGAAGAGTTGTTAGATAATCCAGTTGACTTAAGCATCCCGAGTCTCAAGCAAGTTACTATCAAACCGTATACCGGAACCGAAGATGAAGCTAATTTTGTGAACATCTTGATCAGGCAGGGAGTTGTTCTGGAAAAGATTGTACTCGTTCCTGGCCAGGTTGAAGAGAACCCAAGAGTTGTTCTGAAGCCGCTTCCTCCGGTTGTTCTACAAAGGAAGGATTTCCAAAGTTGGAAATGTACTCTCTCCTCTGTAACACCACCCGTGGGATAATTGACAAGTTATTGTGAGAGGGACGTTGTGTGCATTTGTAATCAATTGTTATTCCGACATTTTAATATCTTACTCTCAATAATTGACTCTTATTTGTGCTGGCCTTGAACATCTAGATGGTCATGACTAGTCAATTGTATACAACGTGTGGACCTCAACTGTAAGAACAAATGCTGTTAAGCACTTGAACTCTTGAGAATATGATTTCATACAAGTATAATTTTTTGTAAGCGTCAATATGCATTTATTTACAAGATATACAAGAAATTTACTAAAATCCGCCTAGCGTTTTTTAGAACCTTGATTGTACTAAAATGAAGGGGAAAGTTTGAACTTGGGACGTAATAGGTTAAAAAGAAAAGCCCTCACAATTAAGATAATCCACCACTTGAGATTTGATTACATTATTTAACAATAAAAAGAAATTTGGATCATTTAACAAATTTTCTAAATTAAAAAAAAAAACCCTCAAAATGCTTAATAAATTAAGAGGCTAACTACATTAAGGTTTGAGGTGATTTTTAAAATGATCTTGAGGTATTTCTCACATTGCATCCACTGTCGTCTAAATATCCATTTTTTAAATTTACTATTATTAAGGGGAGGGGGGGAGAATTATTATTATTATTATTTTTAGTACATCGACATTTTTACACTAAAGGAGAATTTGGCTAAGCTACACACTGGGCAACCTAATTTGGTACAAGATTCAAACCTAAGACCTCTCACTTCTAAGCGAAGAGGAATACCACCAGACCGTAGTACTGAGTGGCAACGGAGGGAGGAGAGTTGAAACTGTTGAATTACTTTTGGGGAGGGTGGAGTTTTGAATCCATGACATGTGGGTGGAAACCTAATATCATATTCACTAGGATATTAGACCACAACGTCTGCATATATCCATTAAATTGATGAGTTTTTTTAGTCAATGTGGTATAAATGTAGCATACATTTCATCGAAATTACAGGTTTCATGCTCACTGTGTCATGAATTTAAAGAATATTCAAATACTTCATTAGACAAGAAATGTAAATTGATACAATTTAAAAACCTTAAAGGACCATGTGAGAAAATTAAAACATTGTGACTCATTTTAAAATTCAGCACGAGAGGGTGAGATGAGATAGCCCTAAATTAAGTTTCTCAAAATTTTGAGTTTACTACTCATAATTTTGTTCCTCTCACTGTTATGTTATATATGATTAATTTTGTTCGTTTCACTGTTATGTTATATATAAAGTATAATTTATTTTTCCACTTTTTAATTTATGTTATATGTCAAATGTTTAGGTAACTAATGGCATGGCGTTGCTTTGGACTAACAAAAAGTATAAAAATATGTTTGGGTAGATCAAACAGAAGAAATTTTATAGTGTGCTCTCGGCACAGCTCGATAAATCAAGTCTAATAATACAATAGGTTGAAAATTTAGAATTTTTTTTAGCTAATTGTATTATTATTGTACTAGATGTGTTTCCGGCACACTGGAAAAACAGAGTATTTATTGAATATAGCCAAATATTAGCCCATAAGTTTAAAAATGTCAGGTTTTATAAAACCTTTCAAATATATCCAAAATATCACTTAAATAGACACAAATACCTTTAAGCTTTAAACCTAATAAACTAAAAACCAAAAGCCTATTAGATGAATAGTTCTCAGGGCTAAACCTAAAAATGACACTTTCTCTTATACCAGTTGGCACACCCCAACCTGGAATGTCCACCTGAACATCCGAATCGCGATGTGCTGGCCGACACCTGGAAGGGGACAAAGCCATAAAGTGTAATGATGTGAAAAATGTGAATAAATTAAAACCTAAAAGTGACTAATTTAGAGTGCGCATGTGAGCAGGACTGAACTCATATCACACAAGTGATGTCAGAGCATAGATAAATTACAGTAAAAGAAGGTAAGGACATTTATACCGAAAGGAGAAGTCTCCTACATGACAGCTTTTACCAACAATCCTCGTCATCACGAAACCTCTGCCACTAAAATCCTGGAGGGGCGAAAAACAAGGGTGAGTGGGCCTGAAAATAAAGTTTTGTAAAACTTTTTCGAAAAATGTGACCCCTCGCTGTAAAACAAGTATATGATTTTCCAAAAATATTATAATACTAGTTTGTAATATGGTACCCTGCAGCAAAAATGAGTGAAAAGTGTAGGGTACACCAACAAGGTATCTCAACATTAAATCACAAAACGTTATTACAAGAAATCAATGCTCATTAATTTATGTAGGCACACAAGTCCATTGTAGAGATATTCAAACAATGGAACAGGTTGGGTGTAGGTTTTACATTCTAGTACTACATCACGTGAGATGCGCTAGTCGCATCACATACGAGTCCAACACATCACACAAAATGACAGGCTAGCACCTAACTTTGGATCCAAAGCGAATGGAAACGGTGCATGTGAACTCCATTTGAAGCTAGTCCTTGGCCCAGAATGGTACAAATAACTAAGAGACTCCGTGCAAACATGTAGTGATGAGCAGATAAAACGCAAGGATGTCATGCTACAAGTTTATGCTTACAAATAATATTAAAAACGTAAAGTTTACAAAAAGTCTATTTGTAAAGCTAAACATGGCATGTTACATCATAATATATAAAAGCAGTTATTGGGAAAATCACATATACATATATTTAAGTAAAAACAAAAGACCCACTCACGTAACCAAAACGTGCTTGTCCTTGGTGAGCCTTGTCGTTTGTTGATCCAAAGAAGCTTGTACCTATACCAAGTCACGTTGACTTTAGCAAAGTACTTAAACGTAAATCATACCCGAAATATACAGATTAACTATAATTTGTCCAAATTTTGCATTTTACAAAATTGCCCATAAAATTAGAGGCAATTGCAAAAATACCCCCAACTTCTTAGAGTTACCAACAGCCCTAAAACTTCAACAATTTTTGTAGTTTGGTCCTTGTTGTAAAAACAGTACAGCAACATCATTCTTTTCTAAAATTTCCCACCAAACCAGCATATACTATATGAATTAGAAGTTGGGACAAGAGAAAAATAAGTATACCAGAAGGGCTCAAGGTGGCTGGCAAAATCGAATTTGGCCGAAATCTCATTGGCCCATAAAAGGGTTTTCGTCGGGTTTCATAGTAGCAATCATGAAATTGAGCATGCGAGGCTCGAACTAGGTCTAGATAACTTGAAGATGGGACAAAATGGGCATGGCCTTGTCAGAACGGCAAGATTTGGCTAGAATCTCTGCCGAAGTTCTCTACAAGAATAGGGGAAGAAAATGCATATTAAGCCTTTGGCTTTGAGCTCAAGGTATGGGTTATAAGTTTACATGCAAGCTCGAAACCAAGCTAGAAAATAGAAACTGAAATGAGAGGGAGTAGTTTGGAGGCTTACCAAGTCAAGAGCTCGAGAACTCATTGGGGTACGCGATGAACAGTGGTGGAACCCATTATGCAGAACTAGGCTTGGCTTGGTGTCCTTAGCAGATTGCATAAGGGTGCTGGTAGCTATCAGTGTGTGTACGAAGGGTTTCAGCAAGTGGTGGTGATGGTTTTTTTTTTCTTTTCCTTTACTTGGCCGAGAGAAATGAGGAAGGCAGAGAGACAGAGCTACGAGAGGTAGTTAGTAGAGATGTGAGGAATATGAGTGGAAAGAGAGGGAAAATAAGGGTGTGGGATGTGAGGGGGAGAGAGAGAGAGCAAGCTTTAGATCTATCAATCATCGCTTGAACCCCTCCATATTTTAGACCTGAGTTAATTTCTACGAAAACAAAAACTATTGTTTCACTATTTGTTTACAACCTCAATTCCCAAGAGAAACAAATAAATAGTGGGAGCCATGTGGAGCATTTTTTCAAGAGGAAATCCTTTCACTCCCTGATTTGCCCAATATGCCAAACTAGCAATGAAACTGTGGAATATCTTTTCCTTCAGTGTCTGTGGGTGGAAACAATCTGGTTTGGTGTGGTGCTAAACTATAAGGTTGATAGGGATGACATCTCGACATGGGCGCAGTGGCTTCACTTCCTTATCAAGTTTGATTTTAGGGCTAATCAGGATAGAGCTTGGTTGCTTTCTCACGTTGCCTTCACGTGCTGGCATATTTGGAAGGCAAGATGCAACTTTCTTTTTTAACCAAATCGAAATTAATCCTTCACAAGTCCTGCTTGCCATTTCGAATGCGACTGGTGCATTTTTTGTGGCGGCCTGCACACCTATGGATCCTTAAACCCCGAACTCAGGTGGTCCGATGGTCCCTTCCATTTTTTCTGTTCATCAAAATCAATGTTGATGCAAGCTAGAATGCATCTAATGGATCAGGCTATGTAGGGTTGGTGGTGCAAGACGCTGAGGGTAAGTTTTTTGCAGCAACAAGGTATGTAATTACGACGCAGAGTGCTGCTATGGCCGAAGCCTTGTCATTCCTTCGCGGATGTCAGATGGGCATCTATTTGGGCGACAGGTTGGTTATTGTGGAATCCGACTCTCTCGAATCTATCTCGTGCTTAAGAGATTCGTTGGAGATTGGCAGTTGGGAGGCTTATCCTACTTTGGCGAAAGTCAAGCGCTTAGGGGATTCCTTCCAAGACTATCGCTGGTCTTGGATTCCAAGATCAGCCAATTTGGTGGCAGACTTGTTAGTGTCGACGAGATTTCCGGAGATGTGCAATGTTTCGTGGGTCGACCGACCTCCATCTTCATTGGTTAATGTCCTTAACAATTATGGTTTACTTTGTCCACCTTAATTTATGTATTGGCAGTGCAGGGGACGACGCCTTAGCATTTGTTGAAGCGTCATTCTTTCTTGTAACTCCTTGCATTGTTCGGATTTTTCTATGCCTAGCTAGTTGTTTGCCTCGATGTAGGCTTTCTGTGTAATTTTGGTATCTTATCCTGTTAATGAATTTTCAGTTTCTAAAATATACAACAAATAAATAGTATAATATGAATAACTATTATTTGACCAAAGAAAAAATTCAAATAATTAAATACAACTTTGAGGTATTTGTTTCCTTCCCAAGGTGACCCCATCATCATCGTCTGGGTTCTACATGGGTCAACGCCACCTATATACACAACATTATAAAATACTCTTTCATTGTTCTAAATTTTTTTTTATGGGGAAAAGTAATTGCAGCAGTACAGATGATGACTGCAAAAGTAACTGCAGTGTCTGCAAGAAAGAGCAAAGACCACTACTTTGGTATT